AATAGTGTTATAAATGTTCATCAAGTAACTGGTCAGTAAATTCATAATCGAAAAACTATGTTGAATTGAAATTTCAAAAGAGGAAAAATATTTTCATTAAATGAAAAAAAGTTGAACGCCGAAAGAGGAGAAAAAATTAAACGCGGTGGTCCAAAAAAGTTTTAGAAATATATTGTTGTACCTACAGTGCGAAAGATCACATAAAGTAGCAACACATCCTTATTTGATTCCAGGAACTTCAACAAGGCCTTATAGAAAACCGAGATTTTTCGAATTCTTTCTCTTTGGAATTACCTTTAGTATTGTGCAATAACAATAGATCCAGGTAAATGTGCATTATGACGATTATTTCGCTTTGTAAAATTGCACCCATCATTCTTGCTGCATCTAACCAGTGATCTTTATGAGGATTTCAGGGTTCCCACACTTTCAAACTCATATAAAAAAAAGGATGTGTTCTTTCGATTTTATTGGATCCATTCGAATTGTCCAAAACAATATTGGATAAAGTCTTGGTGAAAATTTATTGAAAACACTTTTTCAATGACAGAACAAAAGTGATGACTTCGACGCGCGTTTTGCTAACAAAGTATCGTCATCAGGATATGACTAAAACTAATCTATAATCAGTTTTAGTAATCTCCTGATGATAAATTGGTTAGCGAAACGCGCATTGACAAACAGTACTTTTGTTCTGACATGTAAAAAGTGTTTTCAGTAGATTCATTGCACCTCTGAGGTTCCAATTATATCTAATAAATCGGTAGGTAAATTTCAAGGTGTTGTTTGACTTGCAAATAATTGCTTTTTTAATGCTTGCTAATCATTTTCATTGCTTATTTCAACTTTCAATAAGAAACGGAATTTAAATCGAGTATTTTTATTATTAAAAACTATAAATCCACTTAATTTACAAATTGTGTTTCGAAGAGTTCAAGTGGTGTTAAATTTTAATATTTGTCATCCCATATTACTTATCNGAAAAAGCTACTGTGATAGCATAACATGTCGTGATATTTTGTGAAGATCAGATCGTCTCCGGTGTAGTTTGTTTAAGAAAAATATGTTGATGAAGTAAAACTGAAACAGTTTGATTTTTTTTTTCAATTAATTGAAACGGGGACTCGGTTCATAAAATAAATTGATATTAGCCCTTTGGATAAATTAATGATTTTGAGAATCTGCCATCTGAAGACAAACGACTAAAATCGCTCTGGCATTGATTTTGAGTAGCTGTCTGCATCAAAACGAATATTCTCTTGCCTTTTCGAAACATCTGTCGCTTTGGTTAACAAAGAGTTCCGGTTCGCCAGATGGCTGGCACGTGCCCTTTCCGGGGGAACAATCAATCCAAAGATTAGTGCACCTCACTTTTATCATTTGTTATATAATCATACTGCGAGGAGAGGGAAACTTTATCTAGTGCCAGCTTGGCGCTATTACAGAAATTCTAATCTCTTCTGATACTGATAACTAGTATGAAAACAAAGAACAAGAGAAACATTTCTTTCTTTCTTCTCTTTCTTTCATCACATCAAATACTATTTAAAAAAATGTGAGTTACCGTAGTTCTTTTGTGATCGTCTTTGTTAACAAACGGTGCGAAACTTTCAAAATCTGTCTGTACCTGTTTCTCAATTTCAATTAGCTTGCTCCATGGGAATGAACCGTGTGAATCAACCCTTCTTTGGTTCTATGGCAGCTTCTTTTGAACTAGTGTACAAACCCTTGAAGACCGTCTTCATTGTTATGAATCGACAAAAATATCCTTATAAGAGTGCTAAAACTTTCAGGATGAACCTATTATTTCTCACGAATTTCACTAATGACATTTCTTATTTATCAATAGTTTTATTACCTTATGATTTATTATTACATGACACGAAGTTTATGTTGAAAAGACTTGAAAATTTTTCTTTTTTTAATAAATAACGATTAATAATTAAATAAATAATAGGACTACAAAATGGCAAAATAAACGCAAAGTAGATTCAACTGAACTTGGTCCAACTGTTTTATAGCTGATGCGTTTTATTTAAGTTTCAACAAATGCAATCAATATGCTTATCCCAATTTGAATTCGAATCCAAATAAGTACCAAGAAATTCCACTTCATTTTATAGGTTGGAGTTCATCAATTACACAAATTTTCAATAAATTGATGCGGATGTAGCCGTTACTACGTGGTAGGAAATTATCATGGAAAAAAGAGAAATTAAACTTTCTATGTTTCTTACCACTTTTATTTGTAATTAACGTTACTGCAGTTTCGTCCGATACGGACATTTTCAAACGTATACAATAGTTTATTGTACAATACATACATACTATACAATACATACTATAGTTTATTGTACAATAAACTATAGTATAAGTTTGAAAATGTCCGTATAGGACAAAACTGCAGTAACGTTAATTACAAATAAAAGTGGTAAAAAACATAGAAAGTTTCATTTATCTTTTCTTCATTACACAAATTTTACTGAAATTGATTTGGAGATAATAAAAAACGTATTTCTTTGACACCATGCGCTGAACTCATCCATCACAACCTTTTCCATATCAAAACTAACTCATTTCACTATCAGATTTTTACTATGAAAATTTTACAAAACCCCAAAACATGTTTCGCTATTAATATCTTCCTCATTTCCGCTTGAAAAAACCTTTCACAGTGAAAATCTTGCATATCAGGTAGTTAGTGGAACAGTTGGTTAAACTTGGGGCTTGCTAACCATTGATCGTGAATTAAAATCGCAACAACGGTTTTTTAAATATTAAACTATTTCAAATTGAATAAAATAACAAAAATAGGAAGTATTTTTAAATGAGTTTGATCCTTGTTATTGAATTAAATGATATTTCTTCACAAACAAACAAAATATTCCTGTTTCAGACCATGGAAAAATTATAATATTACTCGCTCGAATGATTTCCATTGATCGCATTCGGTACGCTTGAATAATATAGGTACTACCTACTACTTTTTGTAACATTACGATCTTTTATTTAACTTGACCTGTCAGATATTAGTGTGAGACATACCTTGAAACTGAATTTGAACTGAAATTTAACACACATGTTTGTGACAACGTGCGATCAATTAAATGCCGCCGTTTTAATTTCAAAATTGCGGAAATTACAAAATGACGGTTTATTATTTCCAAACTCCTCTGACATATGTCGAAAATGTAGCAAACCAAAGAAAATAACTGCGAATAGCATTAGATTTTTCCCAGTTCTGAAGACGGAGGCAGATTTCAGCCTCAGGAACGTGAAGATAATATAATTTCTTTGCCTTTTTTTAATAGACAAAAATACATTTTGTCCTTTCTGCACTTGTATAAAGTTGATCATTATAAATGTAATTTTTTTTTAGATTTTTGAACAATTTCGTTTCAATATATCTATGATGTATTGTTTTTCATCTCCCAATTCCCGTAATAAAAACTGATAGGTAGGTATTATACTACCGACCGATACGACGCAAAATAGCGTCTGATTATGAATGAGTTTGTATTTCGAGCAAAGCTCCATTTTAAACCTTGAAATGGTTCTCACAACTGCCTCTCGGAGAGTAAATTAAACGGAGGGGGGCTGGGAACTCTCGGAAAACGCCATTTGCACCAGAACGTTATATTGAATTTGGCGTTTGTCGACCATAGTTTTAGCGTTTTCAAAATCGTACCACCAAATTGACATTTTATAGTTTATAATAAAACCATCGAGTATGTATGAGACAGGAATCAAAGTAAATTGTTGTCTGACCATTTGCAAACAAAAGTGCTCTATGATAAGTAAATCATTGTACATGGCGCTATTCAGTTATTTATATGATTAGAAATTAAATTTCATTTTTCATTGGAGCCGATATGTCTAACACAAAATTGAAAATTTATTTCGTTCAATCGCAACTAGATCCAAATAATAGAAAATAATTGTTTTTAATGATATGACACATGCGATCATTTCCTTTCAAAATGACACCGTATTGAAGTTTTATCAAAATTCATATAGCGGCACTATAACGTCAGCAATGAAAATATTGTCAAACAATATGATGTGAGGAATAAAAGACGACGTCTGCTCAGTTTTTTTTAAAGAACTTTGGAATTTGAAGTTTTCACTAACTCATGTACTTGTCATAAATTTTTCCACTTCGCTTCATATATCTCATAGTAAATAAATATCATATCGTAATTTCGAATTTTTAGAATGTTCTGTCTTATGATGGTCAGCGCATGATGGAAAATTCAAATTGCTAGATATCGGAGGTGAAAAATCGAATATAATGGTATTTGACTCCGGTTTCAAAAAAAATTAAAGAAATCGAACTATGAACACGAGATGAAAATAAAAAAAAATATTAACAAGAAATGAAAATCTAAATATTCCAAACCAAGTTACTTCACGACGTTTCGATTGTTAGTATCTATAATCGTCAGTTATCACCCGAAGACAAATCGTTACTTGGCTTGGAATCTTTTAATTTTTAATTCTTATTAGACAATGGAAGTCCGAACTAATGAAATGACAAGAGGGCGGTTATAACTGCAGAGATTATTTCGTCAATCGCCTTTGATAATGTCTAACGCAGTAATAGACGATACGTTAGGCATAAAAACCCGCAGACTACGACCAAAAAACCGGGAAAATAGCTTTCAGACAGTTATGTCCGTCCGTGAAAGTTTACATTCTTCAATGAAAGCAATTCTTCATTAAAACGTTAATTTGTTCAGCTCAGTAATCACATCGTTCAGCTTCTATTAGTTTGTGTCAGTTTGTCGGATGCAAAAATTGATGACTTATGCGAGTACTTTCGTGACCCAACTGTAAAGTCGGTACCTTTCAAACTTTCACTTTTTCACTGGCTCAGAAAAATGAACCAATATTTATAAAATTATCGTAAATGTCGTCAGAGTACCGCTATATTTAATGGCTCTTACTGTGTGTGCCATTTCGAAAGAAAATGGTAACTTTTTTATTTTGTTGAAATGCGCAGTTTATATTCTATCAAACAGTCTACAAATATATAGGGTTCAATTCAAAATTCTTCCTAATTCCCCGTATTTTCTTTTACAAAATCAGAAGCAATTGGTTAATATATTATATCTTGGTGCAAACGGCACAATCCCATGCAGGTCAGCCCATCTGTATAGGTAGCTGACTGCCGATTGGAAGGAAGAGGTTGCCCGCGGCACTGGCATTCGTACCGTGTGGAACCTCTACTATACCATCATCATTGCCATGCATGCATGCATACATTGCTCACCGGTCGGGCATTGAGGCGATCAACTATTTTGCTTTCGAATTTTCCATCGTGTTTTTTTTTTAATTTTCACAACGCGGTCTTCAATTTCACTAGTTCCTTCGAACAGTTGTAAAAAGAAAGATAGATGACAGTGTCCTGGAATTATTGAAGATTACTTGGATTACTTTGATAAATCAGTGGTGAGTTCGAAGCTTTTTTCCAGTTTTGTTATATTGCATTATCGAAATGCTGAAGTGTTTGTGCCACTTTTCATTTGAACATTTTCAATATGCCCTTCCTGAATTTCATTAATTTTCGTTTACATCAAAACTTTCCGATTTTGTTCGATTATTTTAATTTTTCAAGTTGAAAAATCGTATGATTCTTCCTATTCATTTTCATGACTCTGTTTATAACGTTTTTATGATGAACGTGATTATGAACTATTGAAATTGTTCTTTCACTTTCTATCAAAGTTTAACAATCGTGTATGAATAGCAGTGAGAGGAATTTGATGAATCAACGTAGATTTTCAGACAGGAGTAAAAAATGATTGAGGTTGAGATAAAACCTTCTGTGGGTATGCCTTATAAATTGTTTAATTTTATTTTTCTGAGATAAGCCAAGCGGTTGAACGCTTGAAATCTTCGATAAAAAGACAAATTTTTCAATCAGAATTAAATTATCATAAAAATTGGAAGGCAACGACCTATTGAAACTGTTCTCGTCCACATAACAATTAGTTACTTTGAATTCTACAGGGTTTGCCAATGTAGGTACGTGAGCTACATTAAATTATGTCCGTTTAATGCTCAATGAGGACGAATGATTTTGGGAATCCATACATATTAATGGTTGAATGGTTTTCCTCGAATGTCCAAGATTTATGATTCCTATTATTTTGTGTTGTTTGATTTACTCATTCCTGATAGGAATTTTTATCAAAATACACACTTTTCCAGCGTTTATTTCGAAAGTCCTCAAACGCTCGATTTGTTTTCATTTTCTATGAGATGAACGGAACTGGTCATCTGGTCATTAAGTCGGGTGAAACCGAACGATATTTCAGAAATATATACGGGTACTACTTAATATGCATAGGCTTTCTGAAAAATTACTGTGTTCACCTTTAATGTTGGAATAATTACGTTTGGGAAAGTTTTTCGCAGACTAGACGGGATTTTGAACTGGTTTATAAAATTACATTTAGTTTGTTTAATGCCATAATTTGGTGTGCGTGTTTTTGTCAAATTAGAACACGTGAACGTGTACTCCGTAATGTACAATAATCCGATTCTTTGGTTTCGCGAAAAAATATGTAGGTATATCTACATGATTTGCAAATGACATCCGATGCAGTAAAAGTAAATCCGCTTCAGAATATGTTTTCGCTGCTCGTAATCATAGATCTTCGAGGTGTGAGAGTCATAGTGCTTCAAATTCTATGCAAATTGAAACAATGTAATAATTTCAGAACTTTCAAGCAATATTCAAGTTTTTGGATTTTTTCAGCTCAAAGTTCGAACATAACTTTATGTTCAGTCATTCTTTTGCCATTGTATTCTGCGGTAGAGGTCAGAACATCACAATAATTGTCGTTTCAAGTTATTGTCGAGAGCATTTTTATTCGTTTCTCACAGGATGTTCTGAACTCCAACCACAATAAAATCAGATTCTTCGGATCTTTACTGAAACGAAACCAGTTTATTAAATACCTACCTCCTGCTTCAACAGACTCTTATAATTAATCGAAGACGGCGGGGCATATCACGTCGGTCCCAGGATTCTTTCAATTACCAAGATTGACGGTGAGATTCAGAATATCAACTAAATTCGTTTAGAAAAGTTGCATCAGCCTGAAGTTACAAAATCTCGGCCCTAGAAAACCATTTTGACAAATATTCTTTGGGATTCCATTCTCCGTTTATTTGAAGAGAAAATATCTATCATTACTTGATGACCATCTAATGAGAAGATAACTTGTTTGTTAATAATAAAAACTAGTTTAGAAAAATGTTTGATAATTAAACGGAACTGTGAATTTGAGACAATATTTCACATGGTTTAGCCACTTGAAAAAATTGAGTCATAGTAATTTTAAAAATGGTAGTTAATACTGTATGGAAAACCATCAACAACTGAAACAACTACCTACGTTCCATTATGAACACAGTGATTCACGTGATTCTTTCCCAAACATTCATAATTCAAATTGAATCATATGTTAATTAAGGGACACAATACACGACTTAATGAATTATGAAAGAGTTTTCAATATTCAATAAAAACTTGAAAAAATAAATATACATATTTCATAATGATAGTTCGAAAAGTTGCATCAGAACAATAATATCTACTGAACTGAAGAACCATTTTGAAATAGCAATTTTTTAATATCAATGTTAATTTCATTCATGTCTATTTATGACCTACTTGATAACAGTGCAAAAATATTATCGAATCTTATAATAAAGTATTATCAAACATGATTCTTCTACATCAAATTTTATACTGATTTTTTTTCAAACCAAAAAATGATGAAAACATTGAAGGCTAGGCCATCAAAACCGAGTTTTATAGCAATAATATGTAGATGTATTCATATCTCATATCGCATCGACCTGATATTATATGCAAAAGGATGTATAACAATAGGGCAATAAAAAAGAAGCAACAATAACAACCAGTATTATATTTCTTCATGCTGCTAAGTGAACTTCAGCTAGTGGAACATCCCGTGCATGGGTGCTCTACCGGAAGATAAATAATTATTTCTCACAGGAAAAATTTAATAGATGGTAACTTTTTTATCAATAGGTCTTACCTGGGCGTATATTATACAATTATACTTCCGTTTTCAAAAATGGTACACTGTATTGGAATATTCTGAATAGGATTGTGTTGTATTTACAAGTTTGCCGTTATTGCCAGTTTGCCACCCAGACAGCTCCTGGCTATGTGGGTGGTTTTTTGAGTAGTTTTGTCACGCACACATTATCTTTTTCACAACTGGTATATCTTATCAATAGAAGGCCAATAAACAATATATGACATATATATATTCTCATAAGAAAATGTAACTGATTGCTGTCTGTACATGGAGGATAATAATAATAATATAATAATAAGGTTTATCTGTATAGGTAAATAAATATTACAAACAATATAACACATACAAGAGAACAAATGAACAGAAAAATCACAGAAAAAGTTCAGACTGCTTGTACGTGATAAACAGATTAAAAATCTGTTTAAAATCTGTTTTTCCGTTAATCAGCTGTCGCTCCCATACGAACGACAACTCTCAGAAGTTGAGAAACTTGTATGAGCTGAGGACTAACGAGGTCTTATCTTTTAACGTGTGATTCCTAACATGGTTGCAGAATCATCCATCTGATTAAGGACATTTTTGGGTTTTTAATTAAAGTCACATGTAGGGTAAATTTCACAACTCTGTAAAATGACATAATCAGAAGGCAGAAATACTCATTTGGAATTTATAATTTTGCTAAACACATCACGTCCCAACCTGCGAGAATCCAGTCAGTTAAACAATTTTTGTATTTTCTATTCTGAGTCTCAGGTAATTTGGTATTTCGCTGTCCGATGTTTTCTCAGATCTGAGTAGACATATAGTAACTTTTTTCGCGTGTTGTGAACATGTTCGTAAACTTGTAATATAATTTTTCCATTTTCAATGAATAATAATATTTTCATACAGAATAGTTGTCTGATATCCATGATTTAGGCTTCTTTATATAAGAAATCGCTACAATAATCACGTGTCTTTAGCGAGAAATAAATTATTTTTGATTGTCTGATGCCCATAAAATTTTTAAGATATCTGAATTTCGGAAGGAAACCCCTCAATTTTTTGAGAAGCTGTTTCATGCGTGAGTCCCATTTCATATGTCGATCTATCGTGACACCAAGGTATTTCACCGATATTGTACACCATCAATTCGTATGTATTTCTGCTCGGATGCCATAATTGTTTAGTTTTCACGATAGATTTTGTCACATGCGGTGTCAAAAGCTCTGGAAGGGTCTATAAATATACCAACTATCGGTATTTTTCCATCTAAAGCAGAATACTTGATTGAAAAGTTAGTTTATAAAAGGCATCCTCGGTTGACCTGCCTTCTCTAAAGCCGTGCTGATACTCTGACAATATCTTAAATTTCTTCAAAAAATTAGTCGAAACATTTGTTACATAAAAATGTTTGTGAAGAGCATATTTCATTGGTTACTTCTTTCAACGTTTCTGTTCGAATGTTATCATGTTTTAATATTGTGGTTTAAAGGTATATACAATATCTGATCCTGATTGATAGATTTAATTCCATAATTTTGTAAATCAGGTATTTCGCTAACCAATTTTTTTCCTAATACACTGTAATGATTATTGATATTTCTGGCAATCTACATTTTTTCTGTGATGACCATCATCTAATTCGATTTTCTCGATAATATTTATCCTTTGTAAAAAGAATTCAGTTAAAAAATCTGGGAAACCCAAAAACTAAAGTTCGCGCAAATTAAGTAACGGGCAACAGCGCAACAACTCTAACCATATTTTCAGTTTTTACATCTTTCGTTTTCGTTTCAAATAACGACATTTTTATAAACATTTTCTGGAACTAATTGTGTCTAATGTTTTACTTGGCAGGAACATAGTAGGTATTTATACATTGAATTCATATATTCATCACTTTGAAATGTTAAATAAATCATTTCGTTATTTTGCTTGCAAAATGTGGAATTATTCTATTTCATCGTAAATGATACTTATAACGTTAACATGAAATTATAATTCGAAAACAGCAATTATTTCGGTGCAATGTAACGACTTCCTCTATTATAATTGTAAGCCTGGAAACAGGTATTTATGCACATCCTCTTGATGTGTATAGATGTGTGAACTTTTTTCTCTTCTGTGAGAAATCATTTAATTTTATAAACTTGCACTTTTTTACACTGGATCATAGTATAAATTCATAAAAAAATGTTTCACTTTCGCTCTCATACGTGATTGACATTGCACATAGAATTTTATAAACTTGCACTTTTTTACACTGGATCATAGTATAAATTCATAAAAAAATGTTTCACTTTCGCTCTCTTACGTGATTGACATTGCACATAGAATAAGTCAACTAAATATCATAAAGATGTATAATATGTGTCTGTATTTCTTCAAATTAATCAGATGAAATATAGCCTACAATTATTTAAAAAGCAATTGCATTTTTATTTTTCTTATTGGGATAAAAGTCGCATCGATTACTGGTTCGTTAGTTGCCTACACTTTCAATGGTAATCTACAATTTGTGTATAGAAAGTTGAACATGGATTTAATTGATTCAATTAACGTTGAGTCTGGTATCATATATTTCGCATTGTTCCTTCTGGTCCTGCAATAAGATATTTGTGTGTTAGTTTTGATACAGTTTCCCATTAAAAATAAGATGGTTTCAGTTCGGCAGGTTCTGATGATTGTTGCAACCACGTGTCATTCAACGCCCTGGCGTTCATATTGAAAAAAACAATTGGCGAGGAAGTTTTAGATTCTTTTTTTCTTGTTTGATGTAGAAGAGAATCCACATGGATTTAGTTGGATCATATTTCAGTAACCGTTGTTATTACAAAGTATGATTATGACTGAAATCAAATATTTGGAGACCGTATTATTTCCATTGTGTTATTTGAAATATTACTATTGCGAATGAAAAAAAAATATGATAAATTAATCTTCATTACCAACTTTGGTTCAGTGCTATATTAGAAGTAGATACATTTCGAAAGTACGCAAATATAACATTTCCCTAAATAACATTTTTGGTCCTAAATATGTATTTGNCTTACCAACTTTGGTTCAGTGCTATATTAGAAGTAGATACATTTCGAAAGTACGCAAATATAACCTTTTCCTAAATAACATTTTTGGTCCTAAATAGGTATTTGTGGCTATAATGTTTATTTCACCAATGAAATATAAATTATTATCCTCGCTTCATAATCTGTTATGAGCGTCTAATTTCAATAAAGTTGTTATCCAACGGAAATATCGACTCCAAACGTCGTGCCTACTTAATTAGAATGTATGATTAGATCACATTAACTCGATTAGATATCAGGTAATTCCAAGATGCTATTCGATAGTGAGGCAGATAACTCTTTATTTTCACATTTTTTATTTGATTAAACATCAACTTAATCGCGAAGAATGCTGCATTAAGTTTCTTGCAAACCTCATCAATATGTAGATCCCAATTTAAAGATGCATCTAACATGGTTCCTAGAAATTTAACATCATGTGCGATGGTTATTCCATCAGTTATATCAACTCCATCTGGAATGTTATTTTTTCTATTATAAAATTTCATCGAAACAAATTTGGAGGTATTTAACATCAAATGATTGCATTCCCACCATGACGTAAATCTATCAATAACCTCTTTGACTCTTGTTAATACATCTTCCAATGTAGACCCAGTGATTGTCATTGTGGTATCATCTGCAAACATAGTTATGTGGCAATTGTTAACATGTTCTGAGAGATCATTAACGAATACCACAAAAAGTAAAGGTCCCAGTACTGATCCCTGAGGAACTCCTAATGTCACATCATGTTCCTTGGACACAATATTGTTATATTTGACTGTCAAATGCCGACCACTCATATAGGATTTTATCCAAGTCAGTATGTTATGTAGAAACCCAAGCCTCTCTAACTTTATATATAGAAAATCTGATGAAACAGTGTCAAATGCCATTGACAGATTAAAAAAATACTAATTACAAAACTATTGGCATCAACTTCGGAGTATATGTTATTGAGATAATCATAGGCAGCGGTTTCTATGGAACGATTTTTCCTAAATCCATGTTGATTATTACATAGTAAAAAAGAATGGCTAAGGCTTTCTTGAACTCTTCTGGAAAGTAGCCTAGCATGTAGGATTGATTCATTAGATAAATGAGAGGAGATACAATAAGGTCAAATATTTCTTTAACAACTGGAATTGACATGTCATCTGATCCACTCGAATTTTTATTTTTCATTAATCTCAATGCAGCATGAATTTCAGCTTCAGCAATCGGTCCATTCTCAAATGAGTGTACAATATTAACATTTGTACTAGTTGTACAAGGTAATGTTAGATTTTTGATCTAAGTGTGTGGAAATAGCCGTTTTAGCAGAATTTGCAAAATGATGGGCAAATAGGTCTGCTACAGCAGAAGGATGTTTAACCACAACTGATTCATGATGGAGAGTGATAACATTATCAACATAACACTTTCTTTTTCTTCCCAACTCGTTGTTTACTATATTTCACGTTTCTTTAGTTTTGTTACTGGCATTGTCAATTTTAGTGGAAAAGTAACTAATCTTTTGTTGCTTAACGTTATTCTTGTGTTGTTTCAGCCTAGATTTGACCCAATCGACTATAGTCATGATGAATTTTCAATGATGAGGAAAAAATGACTTCAAATATTTACAATAATAATAGAAACAATCCCTAAAAAGCACAGGCCACTTCAATTTTGACAGCCGAAGCGCCTTACGTGTGAAAAACTAAAACTAAGTACTGTCAGTGGTATGCTTGTAAGCAGTCTAAAAATCTAAATGTAAATGTGGAGAAATTGCAGTGTTTTTTGTGATTGCACCCAGTTTTCACAATTTTGTTTTAAGTAACTTGTTCAAATCAAAATATTTCAAAACTGAGACAAATGCGTGTTACTCGTTTCTATGATTTCCATTTTCTAACCACATGATAATCAGAACTTTATAAGACTAAAGTTGATAGAGTAAAATTTAGTCGCTATCCATATAATTTATATTCCTTTCAACAAGAGTAGGGATTGCTTAGTGCTTAGTTTTAATTATAGTGTTGAGTTATGTTAAGGCGTATTTGATTTTATATTCAATCAATTTCCATTTCTGAATATATCGACCGTTCCCAATTCACATTCTGCAACTGCTTGTCTGCTTCCCATGTGTCTGTTCAGGTATGCAAAATGTGTTTGATGGTGTACCGTACCGCTCACGATGCTGACTCATGCAGTGTTGGAGTGAATCCTTGATTAATATTCTATCGATCATTGTAATTGTCAACAAACGTGTTAAAGGAGTATTAACGCGCTTTTAATTCTTGGCAACTGGTACTTATGACCACTAAAAAAAACGTGAAATGGCAGAGCTGCAAGAAACCTATTTTTTTCGAAGTATGTACTTATTAGCTGTAACACTTATTTATTTATTCAGTTCTAAATCATTACATATAGTAAGTACAAAGTCTCCCGCCGTTTGAATAAATTCAAAAACTACCGAACGGAATTTCATACCGGTTTTTAACAGTATACAGATTCGAGAGGAAGATTTTTGAACAGACCTCATATACATGCATTTGATCGTTTCAATACAGATAATCCAATTGAGTATTTTAATCTTTTCAGATATGTATTTTTGAATACCAACTTCATGATGAGGCACAACTCGATTATCTTGATATTTTTTACTGTATTCCTATCGAAGACGATCGGCCTCGCCGAAGATTTGTTGGACCAATATGTGAAACACGTCGAAAAAGTCAACAGAATATCGTACAATGGCGGCGAATCGAATGAATTCCCCAAGCCCTCTCACGAATACAACCACCCGAAAGGACGACACTTAACGAGAAATCTAAAAGTTGCCGTGGAGGAATTTGAAGAAAATAGCATTTCTTCGGTAGATCCTTTGAAAGTGTTTCCCGATTTGGACAGTATTCGGGAACGCAGAGACGCGTCCAGCGATATTTTGTGGACCCATTCGGAGGTTTTGGACGACGAAGGACGAGTCGTCCTCAGGTGGCAACCGAGGCATCAGGAAATTCTGTTTCGAGTCGAGGCTAGGACGAGGGGGTACGTGGGGCTGGGCTTCAGCCCCGATGGGAAAATGGAAAAATCGGACATTATACTCACCTGGGTGGACGATAGACTGAATCAACCCTTTTTGATGGTAAGCTATATCAACGAATTTACATTTACTTGAAATATTTCCATCATTATATACTGGGGCGGCTTGCCGTTTTTCAAAATGTTTGCTTTGAAATTGTAATGTTTATTAAGGTGATGATAATTCACCAGTACAGAATAATCTCAAGAATTATAAAATTATGTCAAAAACAACCATCGTTGTATTAAGCGAATGTGTTAAATAGTTTTTATTGCGCAAAAGCAGCTGACATTTCTCGGAATCGGCGGCTGCCCCTTATACGATCGAATCGAAAACACATGCCCTCTCTTCCTGCACTCCATCCGACGGAGGCAGATGTTTTTACACCTGGCACCACGTGCCTTTCCGGCGGCCTAGAAGGCTCCGTAACATTTTCAGATGACTTTTACGACCTGGTCCCTTTCTAATCGGAGGCAGATTCGACAAAAAACGCGTGGGAATGCACCGAGATGGTATTTTTCAATATGAGAAGCAGGAGAGAACAAAAAGTTACCTGGGAACTTGATTAGTGAAATATTGACACACAGATTTGTTATTTTCAGTACGAGTTGTTTGTCGAAATGTAATTTGTCGAAATTTTGCGTAAAGATTCGTAACATGAGATTTATTTACTATTTCATGTATATTTACTATTTCAAGCCACTCCTATACTTCCTAACTGAGGAAAGAAAAAATTGTCAAGTTCAATTAAGCACATAATTTGTAAAAAGTTTCATTAATTTCTCGGAACAATAAAGAAAAACATTTTCGCAGCTGCTTCAAATAACCTCAAGATAATTTCTGAAAGTTCACTCTCTTTTAATGACCCCCAACCGTGTGTCAATGTGACCCTGAATTAACTTCTTTCATTGTTTTTAATGAGTTACTTCATTAATCTTCTTTTGAACCGCACAGGAAAACGTTTCTATGGAATCAAATTATTTTATTTTTAGAGTAAATTCGACAAGAACATCATTCGAGTGATACTTTTGAATATGCTAGGTTTTTAATAAAAATGAAATAGGGAAATGCAAAACTGAAAATTCTTTGTCGATGCATGTTACACCATCCTGGTGATGAGCTGTGCTGATTTCTCAAATAGAACTTACCGTGTTATATAACAGAATAAACCTTTCACTTTTCAATACTTTCTCAAGTAGAAATTCGACTGTCTTCGTAAATACTAAATTTTTCAGCTGAAGGATTGGATCAAAATTTCAAGAAACTCGGCTTTCAAAGCATTCTGATTACTTCAATAATATAACAAAAACTAATAAGCTTGCAATTTAAGGTGCATTCTGCAAGGACTTTGACAAAAAGTATGTGGGTCAATCAGGACGAGTTATTGAATCTCGTTTCAAAGAACACACCGCCATGTACGGAAATAGCAAAGTGTGTCCATGGAAATGAACAAATTTAGTTTCAAGGATTCAGTATAATTCATTTCCTGATGACACCAACTTTGTGAAACACGCGTGAAGAAGAGTTTTACGAACTTGTGGTATGGGTAAAATGCGCATTCCAGTATTTCATTCATTCCAGTTTTGTGATTATCAATTTAAAAAACTACCGAACGCCAGGGCGTTTTCAACCCTTTCACGTTATGAATATAAGAGGGAACAAAGGGTTATAGTGGTGAAAAACCACCGTTTTTTGTCGCGCCCGTTTACATCCGTTCACGGCCCAACTGAAGGACACGCTCTTCTGCACACAAGGTGTACACAACATCCTATGCTCTCATAATTTCGACTTCCTGTGGTTTACATCCGCTCCGTATATCTTCCACGTTTTTAATAATCGACTTCTGGTGGATTTTTTATGTTTCCTCTTTTCATTTCATATATCATCTTTAGCGTTTATGTTAACGTTAATTAAGTAGACACCAAACTTGTTATTCCGTTTTTTAACCGCCGAAACCGTGAAGATTAGATTGCAACTGACTGATTCGTGATTTGAATCATATGATCAACTTTACCTCAGTTTTAATTATCTTTCTTTATTTTGAATTTTGACTTCCACACGAATTGTCGAAAGCGAAGCCGTACAAATTTGCATGCATTAATCATATTTAACTCCTTAGTTTGGTTTGGAAATTTTCAAAACAATAAACAAATGATGTTGTTCTTTATTCTACGTAAAGTATACGAAAGTGATTATCTTTTTTGTATTTTCAGAATACGTCATCGCACTTCTGAAAGAATACCCTCATAACTCATAACACATATTTTATAAAATAGCGAAGTTTTTCTTACATTTCAAAATCGAAGTCCAAACAATTTATCTTGAAGAATTCCGATATGTTAATGTTGCCATCAAAATTGTTCTTCATTAAGTGAAACGTAAAATGATGGTTATATTTTAACGATAACCGTTATATTTCAGGACTGCCATGGCGTTCCAAAGAGGCAAGGCAGCGCACCTGTTAAAGACGAAATGGATAATTACACGTTGATGAGAGGGATCCAAAATGACACCCATACCATTATCGAGTTTAGGAGAGCCTACGACACCTGCGATCCGGATGATTACGTTTTATCGGTAAGAAATTCTCTGAATGGGATATATTTGTTTTTGTCTTTCTACTTGTTCATCGATATAGATAAATTGGAGATTTCTCAACGGAAGGAAAAAACTTGAATACATCAATGAAAATTCAGTTGCTTTTAGATACAAACTGAAGAAACCACTACCTTCCATTATGAACATTCAGTTATACAGAAATTACTTTTTCTTATTGTAATTATTCACCGAACATTCGTTAGTGGTTTGAAACTCATATATACGGGAATATATGTGTAAAAGATGAAATTTCACTTTCTCAGAGTGCCCCTAGTCCAAATTTTTTACAGATATATTACATTATATTGGACTTGTCACAAACACTTGTAAATAGACAGAAGATACTGGTAGAAAAAAAACTTTTAATTGATTCTTTCTCAAATGATGATAGTATTATTTTGTCTCGTCTTCGTCTCCGTAGTGTTCGTCAAGAAAAAATATACACTCGTTGACAATCGATTCTGAACTTTTTTCTGATAGTATGATAGATCATACAGAACCAGCAATGGAACTCATACAAACTATAT